AAAAAGCGAAGTAGGCCTTGTGGTTCCTGGGCGCTACACTGCTAGTACAAAACGCAATAAATTTCAGATATAAGAAGCAATGAAATCAGAAGAATTAAAGAACTCATCCTCATTTTGAAATTGAACAATACGTTACCCACTTACCAGGGTTAATGAAGCAAGAGGACAAATTAAGTGATCTTTCGTCGGAATAAAAAAGATGAAACTAGGTAGTAAGAGTAACAAATTAAGATAGACTAATAGGAGAAAGGTAGGCAAGGTAACGCAGTATACAGAAGGATAATAAACGTGCTAAAAAGGGAACAAAGGACAAACAAATTATCTGAAAACAAAGCGTTCATTCAACCCATGGGGATTGTAAGTGCCCAATAGATGAATAAGTCGCATCTCCACCAAGGTTTTTCTTTTTCATAGTTTTGAATACATTACACCAATACTCGGTGGTGTAACTGTGTAAGACGCGGCGCATATAGACTGGACGGTTCGGGATCGTTCGCGAGGCAGTCATATATCAAAGATCTTTTTTCACTAAATTAATCCTATCAAATTAAATTGATTGTTTCTAATACTTTGATTATCATTAGCTAGTAGTAGTTAGAAAAATGTAGAACCCGCTAAATATCGGGGAAACCCGCCCACAATGCCGAAAGTAGCGCTTGGATGTGGGAAACCAAGTTGATTACTGCTCATGCTCAGATGGAGATATCTTCATCAATTATTCATTTTTGATATTTTTTTATTTATTTCATGTTTATTGTAGTTTCTTAGGTTTGGGTTTTAGAAGTCATTTAAAAAACTCGTAGTTCGTGTTTTATCGTGGTTATAAACACTCGGCCTTCGGCCTCGTGTTTTATCTCACGTTCTAAAATATTTAGGATACTACGCGCGCTGTGATTGGTCGAAAACCATGTTTGATTACAGTATCAAAACACGCTCGCGCGCGTCAAAAATTTCTTTTTTCCCGCCATTTGCATTTGTTGTTGTTATCATTCATTTTCAAGAAAAATGAACGAAGAAATGCCTATTTATGATGTCCTCTGGGATGATATCCCAGAAGAAGAGCTATCAAACGTTTTAGAATCTACAGAAGCTGCAGACAACTGCAATGTAAGGAGAATTCATCGTTTCATATCGTATCAAAAGTCAGAATTCTTTACAATTTTCGTATTCTTTTAATTTTAGAAAAGAAATAAAAGACGAAATTCCGTGTTTGATACTCTGATCAAAACACTTGGGATGTAGGGAGAGCACTCGAAAAGCTGGAAACCACTCCGCTACGCGTCGTGGTTTCCTACGCTTCTCTCGTGCTCTCCCTACATCCCGCGTGTTTTGATCAGAGTATCAAACACGGAATTTCGTCTTTTATTCCTTAAGTATATATGGGTCACACAATATAACTGCCCAAAGATAGTGGCCCATAATTAAGATGTTGGAGGTAAATAAGGATTGGCGTATATTGATACGAGGTAGTGTTAGTTGAGGCGATGAGCTTGGCGTTTCGAAGGAATATTAGTCCAGTCAATCTGTTGTTAAAGATCAAACTAATTGCAACAGAAGCTTTTTCACTGCCAAATGATAGTTACTGGTCTACTAACTAACATACTAAAAGTTCCCCAAAATTCGGATAGGGGAACATGGTTAAAATAGCATTTTGTGATTTTCGAGTTTTACCACAGGGTACCCAAACCAAGTAAATTAATTATCTCGGTAGAAATAGAATAAACTTAAAATAATTCACTAAATGTTGCTTCTGACAACAAAAGAGACACTTGGGAAGTTTTTTAAAAGAAATCCCACAAATATTGTGTGGAGAAACATATTAAAATAAGTGTTTTATTATTTCACACTTTACCACAGGGTTCCCAATTCGAGAAAACCATATTTTTATATTAAAATTTACAAAATACACAATAAAGTTGCAAAAATGTTCCAAACAACAACCCAATCACCTTTTTATTTTAACAAATATATCTTTCTGTTATTTATCAAACTTTATTGATTTGTTTTCACTTATATTCAAGTGATCGAACACTTATAAGAATTATCTGTTCTTGAATTTTTGTTTTCTCAAGTCTTTGCATCAGTACTAATAACATTGCTTACATGTTTTATGCTGCACAATCGAAAATACAGTTTTGTTTTGACAAAGGACAGTTGTTTTACCTACTATTCATGACTTATTTACATTATTCCTATATCGTGTATCTATAGATGCAGCAAAAATTATATTGTTAACGTTCATTATTCAACTTGGTGACTAGGTTACAATTATTTATTACAACTCTGTAAGTTCTACAAGTGTCGAGTTTTTGCAGCTTGCTCCCTTACAGACACCACAGGCAGCTGTGCAGTCAAGTCCATTCTTGAGACAGGAGCATCTTCTTGTGTTACAATCTGTCTTGCAATTACACCTTATGATTTCGAGTAAAGAAGGATGTGCAGGAGGCAGATTTGTTGTTATGGGCACAAACCTTTCCTCAATTAGCTCCCATCCCCATTGTTGTGGAGGCAGTTGGTTATCCTTCCACTGCTGGACTTGTAAATATACCCTTAAACTGTGGAAACTGGCGGCAGCTGACGTAGGGGGTAGACTTTCAACAGGTACGCATGCATTTCCGCTTGTTACTTTGTGACAAAAGCGTGTATATCGCAGGGAATCTAGAGACTCCGTAGGCAAGCCATTATAGAGACACACTAGCGATCGTTCACCTGCTGCGATTACTTCATCTTTGGAAACATCTGGGTTGCTAAATACTCTGGCTTGATCACGGAACAGTGCATTGTTATTAAACTTCTTGAGGGCCACTCCTTTCCCAATCCCATGTACTCGGGATGTTGTGTCGCATCCGAGGAGTGCATGCATGTACAATATATTGCTGCAAACATCAGGTCCTAGTGCAGACTTTGTTTTCTTGATGTTCCATATTCTGCGTGTCTTAGAGTTCTTTTTGGGCTGAGGTATAAAGAATAGATCATTTGTSTCCATTTCTCCATGGTATAACATCAATATTAGAAGCTCGGTATCATCTCCGACAAGAACAGTATTTTGTGATCTTGTAGATTGCACTGCTGTTTTAACAATCAAGAGGTCAGCATCCCCATTGGCTTGTAGAATGGTATGTCCCGCATCTCTGAGATTGTCAGCAAGTATATTGATGAACCTCTGTTTGTTACTTTGATTGGAGAGGAAGTCTTTCTTCTTAAGTGGGACGATCATATCTGAGTCAAACAGCACTGGTTGTGCACAGATGTTGTTGGTTCTCCTCTGATGAGTGCATGTCTTTGTAGATGGACCATCATCATAACCGTCAAAAACAATTGTTGCCTTTCCATATCTTSCCTCTACATAACAGATATACATAAAACATATTGCATCATAGGTTGAACCAGGTGGCCAGACAACACGATGAATCAAAGCACCACCATCAATGACATAATGTGCATGTTGAGGACGTTCTGTTTGTACACCCTCTGTCTGTGTCCAGATTGCATCGGCAAGTACAGGCTTGTTTGCTTGTCTGGGAAGTAGTGAATTATCAAAGAGAGCACTAGGGTAACTTGACATTTCATATTTGAATAGAGTCTGAGGGTTGTCATATCGTCCACTAGTAGCTGTAAAGCTAAGCCTTTGGAATAACAACTGCGGATCTATTTGTACTTTTTCATCACTGAGCTGCACTGCTATCTTGGAAGCAAGGGTTATTGCTTGATTTTTCTTCTGAAAGGTATAATCGTGAATGTTCTTATCAACCATTGATTGAATAACTTTGTCTCCCACTTCTTTAGCCCTATCACAATTCACACTCTTTTCTGCCACTACTCCAGTCGCAATGTTGCATAGGGATTTGCCAGAACCAAATGGACTTCTATGAGATAAATAGTCAACGATCTTCATGGTGTCATTGTGGTCCCGCTCTTTCATAGCCTTAGTTGCGTCCTTGTATTGATTGTTTTGGCTGGTATGCTGTTCACTTGTGTTGAAGTTTGTGCCAGTTAGYTCTTGCATTGCATTGTTTACATCAGCACAAGCAGGCATGGACATCACCCATACCAAGCGCTGTGTCTCAGTGAGCCCTCGTCCCCTTGTTAGCCCACCACTTGTTTTGATGCTTCTCATTAACACCTACAATTAATATCGAGATTACCAACAAGTAAGATTTGTAATGTGAGATATTCTTAATAAAAAAGCTCTTTCTAATTAAACCATGTTGTAAGTGGTGAATACTACAATTATATGAAAAACAGTCTACTTCTTAGCTAGATTACCTGCTCAATGATTAAGTCAGTTGATAATCCAGCCCAGAAGCGATCAGTCCTACGCACCACATGTAAACCTTCCATAAAACTTTTGTAAACAGCTGGGTTGGTCTTTTCCAGGTCTTGCATAAACTGAAGATAAATATACACTGACTTTGCATACAGGTTATGACCTGCAGCAGCAAAATAGGGTAGCATGTCGCTAACAGCTTGAAGATGAAGTGACCAATTGCCTGTTCGCTCTCCTTTAATGAACCTTCTGAGAATGTCCAGCATCTTCATATATTGAAGCCATAACATTGCGGTACGGTGATCCTTTAGGGATACCCTTTTCTCTTCCAGTTTCTTTGCAACAGAATTAAGTACTCCAGAACAGTTAACTTGACTTGCCATTTGCGGTGTTTCAACAAGCTACCAACAAGTAATGACAAAGTAATAACAACATATAACAATAACAATGCTCATGGAATGAAGCTCAATAAAATGGTGACCATATTTAACCAATAGGCCCTTACCTGTTTGTGCAAAGTCTTTACTAGCTCGAGGTCAATTTCTAAAACCTGCTCTGTTCTGTCCTCGTCATTTTCATCAACTATTTCATCAACTGTCTGTTCATCTTCTTTATTTAGTTCATTGTTTGAAGCTGGCTCGGCTCCGTCGTCATCGTGATCCATATCATCATCATCAAGCTCAATGTTTGAGGCTTCCTGCGAGACATTGAGAGGCACAGGAAGATGTAAACCAAATGTATCACACACAAGCAATGTATTGAGAGCAGCGTCAAGTAAAAAATGACCTCTGATTGCTCGAGCTATAGCTTTACCACTGAGCATATGGCTGACAGCATTTTTGGCATACACTAGCTCAAGGACATCTTCTAGCCCAGAAGCTGCCATTAAATGGCCTATACATCCAAGGAAGCTCATTTCTGTGTGAAGACCCCCCAATCGTAGGACAATGGATTTCATCTTACTTCCTTGTGGTTCTTCTTCGATAATCAAAAGTGCCTTCCACCACAATGGCTGGTCAAAGGTTACAAGTGGGGTGACTTCATAACGGAAGGCTTGCTCAGTAATGAAGGAAAGGGTAGAGTAAATACAGGTCATATTACTTGGATCCAAATCAATCATTGGAAGGAACATTATGGAGGATTTACCAGGATGGATACCATGACATACATTATTCATCATTCCTGACCAACCTGGACGCGGAGATAGCGTTAGGGGCACAGTTAGCTTCCAAAGAAGGTCCAAGTTGGCTGTAGCATCGTTGGCGTGTAATTTCTGCAGTTCTTTGCACTGTAGTTTTGGTGTGTCTTCACTTGGTCCGTGGTAAGGACGGATGTCTATACGACCAGCTTGTGCAATATCTTGAGCTGTAACACTTCTTCTTGGAATAGGTACACTAGTATTTGTTCCAGGTGTAATGGTGGCGATAATCCCCATTCCATGGAATGTGCCAGACCCGTCAATTGTTCTTGAGTTATGATCAACGTTGTCAGCAACGTACTGGACAAATCGTCCCGGAACCCAGCCTGGTATGTCAATCCCTTGAGTCACTGCTGCACTCCGTTCATACTTCTGAATAGTGCTATATGATGAACTGAAGCCGTGTGCATTAAGTGAATCGATAAGAAATCTGGACGCAAAGTGATGGTGCATCTGGACACCAAGCCCAAGCTGCAGAGGTGCCACAATTTGTCTTGGCCTTGTTGCCTGGACAAGGGCTTGTCCAAGAGAGGCAAGCTTCAAGCGCACATCTTTTCCAGGCATTAACGTCTTTAGAAACAACTGTAACAGGTCAGGGACAAACTCTAATGCAGCGTCAACCGACGACATCTCTGCGCGTGCTGGATAAGTTTCACTTGATGAATCCATGTTCATGACATCACTTTTAATCAGTCTTGCAGCGGTCTCGACTATTCGCGATTTTTCCGTTTCGACATCGGTACTTTGGGGTTTGATAAAGAATTCTTGTACAATTGATGCCACATTGTGGATGAAAGTTATAACGTTTGGCTTTTTCTTTGTTGAACTTATCATGATCTTATCACCAAAATGTTCTTTCAGTCTTTTTTTCATATACACTACACTATATGCTTCCTCTTCAGTGTCTTCAAGACTTTCAGCCATCTTCTGTGTTAGTTCTAACACCGTTAGTTGTTCGTCCTCATTTTCTATCAGATATTGTACAGCTTCCATAAAAGCAGTATCTTTAACTGAATCAACTGGACGTCCTTGTGCCTTCACTCGCTTAGACTTAGATTCACTGAATTGTTTTGGTACATTTTTACCAGTTCTAAAATTAATACTACATGTTTGATGATAAACAGTGTCTGTTGCATGTAAATCAYTAAGGAATTCTATTCTTCCTAGCACAGTTTGTGCCCAGTCATCGTAATTTCGTTCTTTGCACACATTAAGGATAGTTTCCTTGAATTCCATCGTGCGAACTGAATAAACATCGCTCCCCTTCCTTTTACAATCATAGTTACAAAGTTGACCACAGAAAATGCAATTTTCACCAGGATTAAATTGGGACTTTGCAGAGCGGCATCTAACAGGTACATTGGTAGATTCATCAWGATCACATGCTGTTGTACAAGCAGATTTTTTGGGTCTCAAAAGGTTAACACGACATTTTTTATGAACTCTATTTCCAGGTGTAGCTCTGATGGCTATATCAACTTGATTGATGCTATTGCACCCTTTTTCAGTAAGGACTGAAAAGTTTTGGTCTTCAAACTGACTCTCCCCACAAATACAACAAGTTTCCATATTCCATCCAAACTAGTAAATTCAGACAAAAGGAACGAACATTTATAAACGAGTCAAAACCTATGAATTGAAATATCAATGCATTGAAAACCGTTTTAAAAAAGATAATTTAAATACCTTTTAAGACCTTTTACTTCTTGGAGGTGATTGAAAGGCGAAAAAACAGTTTAAAAACAGCGAATTTACTTACATACAAGATAGTGATGCATTAACCTCTAGGCATTCCTCTCGTGTAACCGAGAGAACCTGGTTCCAAATTTCGCTAATTTATTTATTKTTCATGACTAAAATGTTCACATTTTAAGAATACGTTTTTTTTTACATGACTATATTACTTATATAAACAACATGACGGCTCAAAAACATCTTAAATAAGAGTTGAAGCTAACGAAAATACAGTATAAATATGTTTGCTTTCTGGGATTCCTGTGGATCACAAAAATCTATTAATTTCGCCATTAACCATCTAAAAATAGTGGTTAGAGCTATTTTAAGGCAATAAAGATATAATTGGATTATTGAAAATATCAAATACCACTACAAATTGAAATGCAAATTAAAACGGACAAATTCTTATTTTTTACTTGGCTTGGGTTACCTGTGGTTTTAATGTCCGATTGTTACCTAATTTTAGCCATGTTCCCCTATCCGAATTTTGGGGAACTTTTAGTATGTTAGTTAGAAGACCAGTAACTATCATTTGGCAGTGAAAAAGCTTCTGTTGCAATTAGTTTGATCTTGAGCTATAAAATCGCATAGATTGACTGGACTATATGCTCAAGGGTGAACGTATGTAACGTTTGTAGCAGTCGGACGTCCATCTACCCATGAGCTTAATCTCGTAGTCCTGAAGACCTGCCACAGACGCTGATG